ACAGGTTTTAAAACAATGGTAAAAACCTCACTATAACAAATTGCTTAGAGATAAAGCAGTCCTCTGGGGGAAAATCCATTATTAATTTAAATTCTAAAAATTTGCTGTGAAGACTGGTATTTATTACTACATAGTTTAAATGTAATTTTAAAATTAGCACATTAGTTTTCTTTTAACAATTTTCTCAGGTGGAGTTAATTTAAAAAGATCTCAATATTGTTCCCTGTACTCAGTTACATGCCAAGAGTGCTAACTGTGGAGCCAAGAAAACTAAAGCTGTGAACAATCTCAATCTCTTCACCATCCATCCTGATTATATTAATACAGTGGTAAGCTTTTAGAGGAACTTCCAAACTGTTTTCCACAGCAAGTATACCATTTTATATTCCCCCCAGCAACGCATGAAAGGCCCAGTTTCTCCAAAACCTTAAAAACATTTGCTATGCACAGTCTTCAGGCATGCGCTACAATTCCAGTGCCTCTGGGTGTTTGAATTCACCAGTTGCTTCATGGAAGAATATGAGCACTCACCTCACTGCTATTTTCTGACTGGTAAAGTGAATGGATTGTCAGTTCTTAGTTGATTCCTACTTGATAGAATTGTGTTTTTATGTGTAATATTAGAAGCAGAAGTAGCAAGAGGTAATCTTTTCTTTTTTAAAAAAATGATTTATTTTACACTTGATTTTAGCCAAAAGGCAGAGAGGGATTAAAAATTTTATTAATTTTAATAAACATTTACAGAGATTTTGTATTTCCACTCAATCATTGTTGCACTTTTCTCCCTGCCCACCCCTCTCTCCCAGTTCGCTCTTTTCTTTGAAAAATAAAAGAAAAATTCCTTCTTTGGTATAGAATCCTTCCCCCTGAGTACACTCCACTATGCAACCTTCATTCTGAACTCTTGTGAGAACCATAATACCCTATCATATATTGCTTTAAAAATATTCTCTCCCTCATCTATTTCAATGCAGTATACACAATTTAGTTTCTTTTTTTATCGAACCAAATCAGATTTATCTTTACTGTTCCAGCTTTGCCAGGAAGTAAGGTCTCAAGGTGGGGAGCCATTTTCCTGAGGCACCTACCTCCGGGTTTTCCAAATGCTTCTCCCTGTTCTCCCCCCCTCCCCCCCGACCCTGCCCCGACCCCGCCTTTGGAAAATATCTTCATATCGCCTGCCTCAAAACATTCAAGGCCAAGGTAAAGGGAGTGGTCGGGTGAGGTGGTTAACCACACAGGGCCGGCCCCTCCAGGTTAGCCCAGGTTAACAACTAGTAAGAGGTGCAGCTGGGGGCCTAGAAACTGTGCCACTGGGTGAATTTCAGCAGCTCAGGCTTCCTGGCACTTGGCGACCTCAGTCATACTCTCCTGTTGTGAAAGACGTCTCGCACCTTCACCTGCAGCATGACCACAGCATGGCCCCAAAGAGACCCATGCCAAGGCGAGGTAACTGCTGCATCCTCATGGGCTGCCTTAGCCCTTGGTGCCTTGGCAACCCCTGCAGGGGACATTCTTGTTGCAGTAACATTTCCATCTAGCTGTTGGTTTCAGCATCCTTCATCAGACCAAACTTTAATAAAGCCTCTTTTTATTTGCTAAGTATACATATAATTCATACATCAAATATTTTCTAGGGTTTAAGAACTATAGTTAACACTGACATTTAATCTTTTGCATAATTAATTTAAAACTAAAAAATGAATGAAAAAGTTAAACATTGTATCAGTGGTATGATTTAGTGGTGGTTTCTTTTTGCAGATTTTCAGTTTTTATTAATTTCATTGACTAGTTTCTTAATTATTTTGCATTGTTTTCCAGACTATTTGATTATTAACAGAATGTGAAAATTTAAAAACAAAATGCCATTACTATCAGATGCAAGCAAAATATTGCTGAAGATCATTCGAAAAAGACTAGGACAATACAGAGAGAAGTGCTATAAACGCAACCTGGATTTAGAAGAGGTCTTGGCGCTAGAGATATCACTGCTGATGTCAGACGGATCCTGACTGAAAACAAAGAATACCAGAAGAGTGTCTATCTGTGCTTTATTGATTATGCAAAAGTATTTGTGTGGACCATAACAAATTAGGGCTATCATTGAGAAGAACAGGAACCTCATAACACTTACTTGTGATCATGTGAAACTTGTACCTGATTCTGGAGGCTATGTGCCATCGAGTCGCCAGTGACTCACAGCGACCCTATGTACAATAGTCCTAAACCCTGCTCTATCCTGTGCCAATCTCACTGTCTCTGACACACCCATCCCGATTGCCCCAGTTACTGAATCAATCCACCTCATAGAGGGTCTTCCTCTCCTTTGCTACATGGTTTAAAATGAAAAAAAAAGATGTGTAATAGGGTTGTATCCTCTCCCCATACTTATTCAGTCTGTATGCTGACAAATTATTCAAGAAGCTGGACCCCATGAAAAAGAATGTGGCATTAGAATCAGAGAAAGTCTCATCAACAGCCTACATTATGCAGATGACACAACCTTGCTTGCTGAAAGTAAGGATAACTTGAAGCACTTGCAGAAGATCAAATTACAGCCTTCAATATGGATTACGTCTCACTGTCAAGAAAACAATTTCACCACTGGACTGATAAGCAATATCATGATAGATGAATAAAAAATCAGAATTATCAACTTCGATTCAAAATCAACATTACCAGTAGTTGTGAGATCAGGAAATGTATTGCATTGGGAAATTCTGTAGTCGGGGACCTTTTGAAATTATGGAGGAGCAAGAATATCAGTTGGAAGAGAAAGGACGCCTGATTCAAGCCATAGTCTTTTCAATCACTTGCAATATACATCTGAGAGTTGGACAATGAATAATGATCACACAAGAATAATTGGTGCCTTTGAGCTGTAGTGTTAGAGAAGAGGACTAAGTATCTCATGGACAGCTAAAAGAACAAACAGATATGCTTTGATGAAAATGAAGCTAGAGTAGTCCTTGGAGGCAAAGATGAGAAAATTTTGTCCCACAAACTTTGGGCATATTATTAGCGGAGGCTATCACTTGGAAAGGAATGCTTGATGAGGTCAGCTAAATAGAAGAAGAATCCCAGCCCGATGGGTTGACACAGTGACTGCAGTAGTGGGCTCAAGTATGTCAGAAATGATGAGGATGACACAGGATAGGACAGGGTTCAGATTTCTTATTCATGGGGTCACTGTGAGTTGTACTTGGCTCAATGGCACCTAATACATTAGAGTGTATCCTAAAAATCAAAGTTTCTATTTATTTCATTTAATGATTATTATGTTGGTGTTTAAAAATTATCCACTCCAGATGTCTGACACATTAGATAAAACTACTGCCAACTTATAGTCATAAAGCCATAAAAAAGGAGAGCTGAAAGGATTGAAAGTAAAACCCAGGTTTGAAGCAAAGGAGCTCAGGGGCCATAGTGGATTAAGTGTTAGGCTGTTGATGGGAAAAGGTGGTAGTTGGAAGACACCAGGCAATCTGTGAGAAAGAGGGGGGGGGGAAAGCTTCTTCAATTGTAAATATTTACAATCTCGAATACTCTTTGGAGATTTTACTTTATTCTTTGGGATCCTTATGAGTCAGAGTCTAGTCAATGGCAAAATGTTACTAATCAAAGCTGTTTCTTTTATTACTTGTATAGAAGAGAAGAGTATACTAAATCAGTTGACTTTGACTTTGGCTTCAGAGTTATCAGATACATTATTAGCCTCCAATTATGGGGAAAGAATAATTCAGAAACTACTTCTGAAGTTGCAAATGAAGATTAATAGGTGGTTAAGTGGTGGGGAGTTGCACCACTAACACAAAGGCAGGCCGTTCAAATCCTGCTCCACAGGATAAAGACAGGCAGTCTCTTCCTGTGTGATTTAATGCCCTTAACATCTGCTGTAAAATCAGCTATGAGTCGCTTCAGGCTCGACAATACAGAGCAACAATATTTTTTTTAATAGTTAAATTTTCATTTGACTGTCTAGAAGTAATAAACTAAATATTTATTCGCTATTTGATGAACTCTTAAAAATTTGTGAAAAATTTTGTATTGGAGATCATTTATGATCAAGGGAAGAACTGATTGATGACGAGGATACACATGATTTTATAAAAGCCAAAGATGTTTTGCATCTGGGGAGAGCGGGCAGTGATTGTTTTGTTTCAATTCTCTAACTGTACCGTCACTGGGATTGCATAGCACTGAACACGGGGACATGGAATCCATAGAGTTCATGAGTCCATTAGATGAGAAGCAGGACAAACCACTTTCAGACCCTCACCAGGCAACCTGCTCTCACTGCCAATCATCTGATCCTCCTTTTTTTTTTTGTCAATTACAGGAACCTCTATAGTGCAGCTGGTAAAGGTCTTGTTGCTAACTGAAAGCTTGGTGGTTTGAACCCCTTCTTAGGAGGGAGAGGAAACTGCTTCAGCAGAGATTTACAGCCTCAGAATCTCTATGGGACAGTTCCATTCTGACCTATAAGGTTCCTATAAGTTGGAATTGACTCAAGAGCAGAGGATGCAGCTACCTGCTGCTCCTCTCCATGCAATTTACAGCCTCAGAAGGGTCATTAGCTATGAGTCAGAACTGTGAGTTTGAGTTTGAATACATAAAATAAGACCAATGTGCTGTGCTTAGGAAGATCCTAACTGAACAATTGAAATTTCTTTACTGATAGCTATGGTGGGTTCTTGAGTTTCCTATATCTTAGAGTAACAGAGTAGTTTTATATTAAAGGACAAAGTCTTGGAGCATAAGTAAGGTCCTGTGTGTCTAATGCCCTGTTCATTTTTCTATATTACAGAATGGCAGGAAGGAGATGCATTAGCTATTAGCACAGGGTGTCAGACCACTCTGGCCAGAAAATGCTCTAGGAGGATGTGCCTGCTGACTGTTAAAATAATGCAGAGTTTTCTGGTATCAGAATGTAGAGAGAATTTCGTGTTAAAGGCCACAAGGTAATGTCAAGACCTGGAGCTGCAGAATCCTTGCAGAGACTATACCCGGGGCAGAGCACATATCTTGTGAGGCATTGGCCGAGTGGTGAAGCCAATGTCAGGGGTTAGGTCCAAGTCCAGGTGGGAGACACCAGGAGGTGGGCGAAAGGTGAACTTCTGCAGGAGACTGGTAAAGAACAGGAAAAGCTCCATTTTGGCCAGTGCCTCCCCAGCACACATCCGCCGACCTGGAGAGAGGGCAACCGTGTGTTTTAGCAAACAATAGCATAAAATTGGAAAAAAACCAAGCTAGATAGAGATACAGCAGCCGATTGCTCCTGCTTTGGTATACCTGGGCCAGTTACTATACCTCTTCTGTGACCATAGACTCTACTTAGAGAATATGTTTGTATTGTTTTGGCTTCTTTTGAAGTGTTTCCCCATTTGTGGTGACCACATGCACAACTGAACAAAACACAAGGTCCTGCACCATTCTTATAATTAGTTACTGTCCATTCTGTTATCATTCACAGTGTTTTAAAGGTTGAGTTTTCAAAAAAACACTTCTAAGCCTTTCTAGTCTACTGTACCTATAAGGCTCCAATGGAACCTGTTCAGTATCATAGCAACAATGGTAGCTTCAACTAACAAACAAGGGCAGCTAAGAGTATTAGAGGAAATGGAATCAAGTCTCCATTATGGAAGGCAAAAAGTCTACCCCTGAGCCATCAATGCCTGTGAATTAAAAGTATAAACTAAAAGAAACCTCTCTTCATTAACATCCTTCCAAAGAAATCCCAAGACAAACGTTTGCACTCACTATAGCAGTGACTTCCTTGTCGGGGTGAAGTTGGCTGTCCATTATTTCTTGGTTAAACTTCTCCGCACACTTCTAAGGCTTTCTACACTAGCTTTAGTCCTGAGGAATCTCCAAAGATTGCCCCAGAAAGGTAGTCCCAGAACTTAACAGTCAAGTACAAAACCCCAAATTCATTCCCTCTGACTTGATTCTGCCTCACAGAGACTTTCTAGGATAGAGTAGGACAGTCCCACAAGGCTTTCGATGCTGTAACGCTGTAAGAAAGCACATTGCCTCCCCTGTCTCCTGGGGAAGAACTGAAGGATTTCAACCCTAGATTTTTCAGTTAGCAGCTGAGCACTTCTGACCACACACCACCAGGCTTTCTATAGTAACTTGACAAAAAAAAAGGAAGACTTTTTTCCACAAGTCCCTGTTTTCTGAAGTTTAGTGCCACATAAAAAGGTACAGAGGCTTAACAAAAAGGCTACAACTCTCCATACTTTCCAAACGTAATTTTTCTCAAGAGACCTTACCCAGTGAAAAGGGTATGAAGGCATCTTTCTTGATAAACTTTCCATTAGAGTTGAGGAAATGCCCAGGATTAAACGCATCGGGTTTCTCCCACTGTGTATGATCCTGGAGTACAGAGGTCAGCAAGATGGTGATCTCAGTACCCTGGGGGGAATAAAAGAAAATGTCAGAGATTATTAAATTCCTTCCTAAGGATATGGTTCTTTAAAGTTGCCTCTGAAAACCCTAAGAACCTGGAGAAAGGATGAAAGTTATACAGGAGGTGTCCAGGACTTTCATTCATAGGGTTGCTGTGAGCTGCCTGCGACTTGATGGCACTTAACAACAACAACAACAACAACAACAACAACAACAACAACAGCAACAGGAGAGAGAGAGAGACAGAGAGAGAGCGCGTGCAGTTGGCCTGGTGGACAGAGAGTCACCCTCTCAAGCCAAAGATGGGTGACTCTACCCCGTGGCCCTCAGGCCTGCCTTTATTATTTATGATGAAGCATTCTTCTGGGACATATAGCTCTGGTGTGTCCACTTGCTGTACAGAGGTAACTCGTGGTTGCTGTGAAGCCAAACACTGTGACACTGACAAGTCAAATGGGAGAATTGTTGCCTATGGTGGACAGTGTTTGGTGGAGCTCCCCGATTAAAACAAGCTTGGAAGCAGGAGTGGCATCCACTTCCATAATAGCTTGCCTCTGGAAACACTATGAACCTGGAGAAAGGATGAAAGTCACAGAAGTATTGAGGCCTTTCCTTCATAGGGTTGCTGTGAGTTGCCTGCGACTCGACGACACTTAACAACAACAAAGTTGTATTATGATCTCAGTGTTCACTATTAGAAAATGAAAAGGGTGAAGGTGCGAGATGAGTTTCACCTTAGTATGTTGTTGTTGTGCCATCAAGTCCTAGGCAACTCATAGCGACCCTATAAACGAAAGTCCTTGACAGTTGCGTGACTTTCATCCTTTCTCCATGTTCGTAGGGTTTCCCAAGGCAAGCTATTTATGGAAGTGGATGCCACTCCTACTTCCATGCTTGTTTTAATTGGGGAGCGCCACCAAACACTGTCTTCCATGGATAACCACTATTGCATTCGACATGTCAGTGTCACACTGTTCAGCTTCCCAGCAACCACAAGTTGCCTCTGTATGGCAAGTGGACACACCAGGGCTATATGACCTAGAAGAAGGTTTCACCAAAACAATTAAAAACGGGATTTTAATCTACTGCCTGGAGCAAGCTCCGCAGCCTCCGCCCTTACTTCCCTTTAGTTTAGGGCCCTGGGCCACCCACCTGCTTTAGAAGGGCAGGAAAGAGCAAAAAGGACCCCAGAAACTTCCCTTGCCTTGACTGCCACCAAAGTCGAGCCGCCGACTTCCAGAGTGGAGGGAGACTCCCTCTTTTAAACTTCTAGCAAGGTTTTAGGTTTTATTTAGTACCGGGGGTGGGGGGTGGGGGGTTGGAGGCAACCCTGTGAGGTGTAAACCGTTGACACATACAGCTGCTATCCTAAAGAAAGTTTGATTCCATCCCAGTGGTGCCTCAGAAGAAAAACCTGTGTGTGTGTGTGTGTGTGTGTATGTGTGTGTTGCAAGTTTTATAAGCAAATTGATAGTTATTAAAAAAAGATTGTTTTGTTTATTTAAAAAAAAGAAGAAGAAAAAAGACCTGGCAATCTGCTGCTGAAAAAAATAGACTATTGACATTCCTTTGGTGCACAATTTTGCTTTGACACATACATGCAGGATTCTTTTGAGTTACAAACCAACTTGATGGTAACTAGTTTCTTAACTGAAAAAAAAAACACAAAACACAACCCAGAATTTTTAGTGCAAAGTTTGATGACTATTTCAAGGCAAAAATTTTGGCGATTCATCTGGAAACTAGAAAAATTCTCTGAAGCTTTCTTAAAGTTCAGAAACAGTTGTGCTTTGCATAGGTATAGACTATCTATATGAAATCAAACTGAGCACCTTGACTTCAAAGATTAGATGGTGAACTTAGGGAGCTGTAAATTTATGTTAATGAGGAAGGAATAACCTAGAAAAGGAGTGGGAGAGTTTTCCACAGCTTGAAAAATGGAAGCAATATGACCAGACTGTATATGTAGAAATTGTTGAAATAGTGTGTGCTCTGTTGTATATGCTTTTACTAACATTAAAGTTTTTTTTAAAAGACAATAATAGAAACTTAGAGAAGTGTTAAACTCAGGCTGTTGCTGTTGTCGTTAGGTGCCAGTGAGTTGAGCATAACTCATAGCAACCCTATGAACAAAAGATCTGAACCCTGTCCTATCCTGCACCATCCTCACACTTCCTGACACACGAGCCCATTACAGCAGTCACTGTGTCAATCCACCTGGTTGAGGGTCTTCGTCTCCTTCACTTATCCTCCACCCTTTCCAGCATTATGTCTTTTTCCAAGGAACAGCCTAACAACATGCCCAAAGTATTTAAGGTGAGGTCTCATCATTCTTGCCTCCAAAGAGAGATCCAGATGCACCCTCTCCAAGACATATTTGTTCTGTTGGCTGTCAATGGTATGTTCAGTGCTCTTCTCCAACACCACAGTTCAAAGGTGTCAATTCTTCTTTTGTCATTCTGATTCATTGTCCAGCTCTCAGATGCATAGCAGATAATTGGAAAGACTATGGCCTGAATTAGATGCACCTTAGTCCTCAAACTGACATCACTACTTCTCAATAATTTGGAGAGGACCCTAATTGACTAGAGACCATAATTCTTACTGAGTCATATATTTTTTGTGTGCTAACAGTACATTTCATTTTTATTAATCATATTTTGCAAATTTACAAGGTGGAAGTTAGATAGGGATTGTTTAACTAATCATGAGCACTGGAATACAGGACATATGTGGTTTTGGGATTCATTGAATGTTAGCGCCTTCATATCTATGGACTTTTTCAGTGGACAAGTTAAATAAAATGCTCTGTCCTGGAGTTAATTCTGACTCATAATGACCCAGTAGAACAAAGTATAATTGCTCCATAGAATTTTTAAGGCTGTAACATGTTGGAAGCATGCTGTCATATATTATTTATCTCATGCAGCATCTGTTGTTGTTGTTGTTATGCATCATCGAGTCATCTAATGTCTCTGGACCTTGCCCTATCTGGCACCAACCTCACCATCTCTGACACACCTGTCCCCATTGCCACTGACACAGTGTCAGTCTCTCTCATTGAATGTCTTCCTCTCTTGTGCTGACCTTCTACCTTTCCAAGCATGATGTTCTTCTTCAAGGACTAGTCTCTCTTGGCAACATGCCTAACATATTGGAGATGGAGTTTAAAAATCCTTGCCTCCAACCCATGCAGCAACAAGTGGGTTAAAATTAACTGACCTTTAAGTTAGGAGACAAGCTCTTAACCAGGGCTCCTTTAAACTAAACAAGTCCACCAAAACAAATTCTCAAAAACAAACTTACCAAGCTTGCCATATATTGTGAAACAAATTAGATCCATCAGAGGAAACAAATTTAAATTGAAAGTATGTATAAGGAATTGCTGAGGGTTTTTGTTTGCTTGGTGTTGAGATGTAAACCATATTGTAGGTTGTAGTCTTTGATCTTCTGCAGGAAGTGCTTCATGTCTTTTCGTAAAATTGCAAGAAGAAATCCTCTTCTTTCAAAGGAAGTGCAATCAGAGTGATGCTTAGAGGTAAGAATGATGGAACTTTGTCTGACTCACTTCGAGTATTTTTAGGAGGAACCAGTCCTTGGAAGGAGACATCAAGCTTGGAAAGGTAGAGAGGGTCAGTTAAGAGCAAGCTCCCTACTAAGATGGATTGACACAACAGATTTGAGCATGACAGATACCGCAAGGATGATACAGGATAGTGAAAGGTTCAAATCTTTTGTTTATAGTGTCGATATATGGGAACAATGGGAAAAGTTTTATGAGATCACAAATGAAATGAGTTTAAAATGTTAAATTGTTCCACTTCTAGAAATCTATTTTTATTTTTTAAAGAGCAATTTATATACTGGGCTCTGTAAACTGATTTTCTCCTCCTTGTAGCAAAAATGCTAGACTGTTTTCATTTCAAAGAAGAAAAAAACTCTCTGATTCATCAGACTCAGTCAACTCTACCATGGCTAACTCTGAGAAGAATGGGAATCTCAGAGCATTTGACTGTGCTTATGCAAAACCTGTACTTGAACCAGGCAGCTGTTGTCGGAATAGAGCAAAGAAACATTGTATGGTTCAAAATCGGGGAGGGTGTATGCCAGGGATGAGTCCTATTTCCCTACCTTTTCAATCTATGTACAGAACAGATCATCTGGGAGACTGAGCTATATGAGGAGAAGTATAGCATTGGATTGGAAGAAGATTCATCAACAACTTCCATTATCAACAACCCTGCTTGCTGAAACTGAGGAGGACCTGAAACGCTTATTGCAGAATGTCAAGGACTGCAGCCTTAAGTATGAGTTGAAGCTCAAAATCAAGAAAACAAAGTTTCTCACCACTCGGCTGATTGGCAGCATCATGGTAGACGGTGATGAGACTGAGATTGTTAACAGCTTTAGTTTGATTGGTTCTACAATCAACACTCGATACCAGCATCCAGGAAATCAAAAGATGAATTGCACTGGGAAAGTCTGGGGTCAGGGACTTCTACAGAGTACTGAAGAACAACTATATTTGTCTAGAGATTAAGGTGAGCCAAATCAAGGCCATGTGCTGTTGTTGTTGTTGTTATGAGCCATCAAGTCACCTACTACTCATAGTGACCCTATGTACAACAGCCCTAAACTCTGCCCTATCCTGTGCTAATCTCACCATCTCTGACACACCTATCCTTGTTACCCTAGTCACTGAATCAATTCATCTCATTGAGGGACTTCTTCTCTTGCACTGTCCCTCCACCCTCCCAAGCATGATGTCCCTTTCCAAGGACGGGTCTCTCCTTGCAACATGTCCAAAGTATGTCAGATGGAGCCTCAGAATCCTTGCCTCCAAGGAGCAGCTTGGTCTCACCCTCTCTAGGACAAACCTGTTTGTTCTTCTAGCAGTCCATGGTATATTCAATACTCTTCTCCAACACCACAGTTCAAAGGCATCAATTCTCCTTCCATCATCCCTAGTCATTATCTATCTCTCTGATGCATAGCAAGTGATTGCAAAGACCATGGCATGTATCAGGTGCACCTTAGTTTCCAAAATGATATCTTTGTACTTCAAAATTTTAGAGAGGTCTCTAACCACAGATTTTCCCATCGCAATATGTCTTTTAATTTCTTGGCTGCTGGTGCCAAGAGTGTTGACTGTGGATTCAAGCAAACCAAAACTGTGAGCAATCTCAAGTTCTTCCCCATCCATTATGATTCTACCAATCAGCCCAGTGGTGAGAATCTTCGTTTTCTTGCTATTGACTCTCAATCCATACTGAAGACAGTAATCCCTGACCTTCCACAGCAAGTGCTTTAGATCCTCCTCAGTTTCAGCAAGCAGGGTTTTGTCATCTGCATAACGCAGATTGTTGATGATTCTTCCTCCAATCCTGATGTCACATTTCTTCTCATAGAGCCCAGCCGTTCTGATGACTGTCTCCTGGTCCAAGTATAGGTTTCGCATTCGCACAATCAAGTATTCTGGGATTCCTATTCTTCTCAGAGTCAGCCACTGTTTGTTATGATCCACACAGTCAAATGCCTTTGCATAATCAATGAAACAAAGATAGACATTCTTCCCATACTACCTGCTTTCAGCCAAGATCCAAATAACATTAGCTACAATATTCCTAGTACCACAACCCCGTCTAAATCCAGCCTGCACTTCTGGTAGTTCTCTGTTGATGTGCTGTTCCAGTTATTTTTAGATAATCTTCAGCAATTCTTGCTTGCATATGATATTAATGATGTTGTTTAATAATTTCCACACTCTGTGGGATCACCTTTCTTTGTAACGGGAACAAATATAGATCTCTTCCAGTCAGTTGGCTTTTCTCTGGATTTCTTGGCACAACTTGGTGAGCACATCTATGGCAACGTCTGTTAGTTGAAATATGTCAGTTGGTATACCATCAATTCCTGGGTCCTTATTCTTAGCCAATTCTTTCAATGCAATCTGAACTTTTCCCTTCACCACCATAGGTTCTTGTTCATATGTTGTTTCATTAAATTCTTCTGTGTCTGCCAATTCCTTTTGTATAATGACTCTGTATACTCTTTTAATCTTCTTTTAGTACTTGCAGGATCACTCAATATTCTGCCCAAAGCATTGTTAAGTATTACAACTCAAGGCTTGAATTTCCTCTTCAGTTCCTTGAGTTTAAAAAATGCTGAGCGAGCTCTGCCTCTTTGATTTTCTGACTCCAGCTCTTTGCACATTTCATTGTAATACTTTACTTTGTCTTGCTGCACAGCCTTTTGAAATCTCCTGTTCAGCTCCTTAATGTTTTGATTTCTTCCTTCTGCTTTGGCTTCTCTGCGCTCCAGTGCAAGCAAGGCCATAGTCTTCGCAATTACTTGTTATACATCAAAAAGTTGGACAATGATTAGGGATTATATAAGAAGAATTGATGCCTTTGAAATGTGGCGCTAGAGAAGACTATTGAATAGATTGCAGGAGAACAAGCAGGTTCATCTTGGAGAGGGTGAATTCAGGCTGATCCTTGCAGAAGTATTCTGAAGCTTTGTCTGACATGCTTTGGACATGTCGCAAGGAGAAACCAGTCCTTGGAGATGAACATCATACTTAGCGTGAAGGGATAGCACAAGAGAAGAAGACTCTCAATGAGAAGGATTGATTCAGTGATTGGGGTAATTAGGGTAGGTGTGTCAGAGACAATAAGGTTGGCACAGGCTACAACAGATTTCAGGGCTATTGTACATATGGCTGCTTGTGAGTTGCAAATGACTCAAAAGCACGCAACAACAACAACAACAACAACAACAACTGTGACTGCTTCGTCAATCTATATTGCTTAGTGTTGGTGATTTTTGGCTTTTTATTAGCTGCTTTTGCTGGAACTCTCAGCTCAGCTAATCAGTCTAATACAAGAGTGAATTTAGTATATGCTGAGAATATATATGCTACAAAATGAATTTAGCCATTTTCCTTTGTCCTGGGGTCTTTGCTGGAAAACATAGTGGGTGGGGATCTCATTAATCAAGGCACCAATGGCACCCTGAATCGATGCAGAGGAGGGCCCAGGAATAGTTACTTTAAGTATCAAGGACAAGAAAATAGGCTTAATGAATGCCAATCTCGCCTTCAGTTAATTTAGGAAATACCTGTATTTTTTGCTTATTGGTAGAATTCAGGGGGATGCATCTGTCTTAACATTAGAAACGTAGGAGAGTATGATATTCCAGTGTGATGCTTCAGCAAGAGGTCCTGTACTGAAGAGGGTAGTCCAACTGATGGTGTGTCCTGGCTGAGACCCTAACTTCCTTCCATGGGGAATTGACAATTATTCACAATCTCTGAAACACAGTCTCTTCCATTATAACATAGAAGAACACCTTCTAAAACTTTCACAGAGCAATGGCTATTACACATGTCGATAGAAGCTGTCCACAGGAAGGAAGGAAGCAGGGAGGGAGGGAAAAAGGAAGGCCACTGAGTTGGGTGGGGATGATTTTTGACAGTTCATATTAGCACTGCTAATTTGAGAAACTGATATTCTCTCCCTCCCCACTCACCTCCCAGTCTTCCATCCTTACCTTTGGGATAAAGTAATTTTTAAAGGTAATATCTTTTGTGGTTGCATGGGGCAAGCCCGCGGGCAGGATGTTTGCAAATCTCTGTATTTCATGAATGACGGCATCAGTATATGGCATTTGAGTTCGATGGGCAATCTGCGGCTGAGACGTCCCAACAACTCTGGCGATCTCATCACAGATCTTTTCTGGATAAAATGGAATGAAAATGTTTAAAGGCTACGGTAAAAGGGGATACTGGGACAGATGTCTCCTCTTTCTCTAAATGGGAATGTAATCCCGGTGTTCCTGGACAGATTGGATTTCCTTTTCTCTCCATTGCTCCTTTCTTCTTCCCAGCTCCAGGCCTCCATTCCTAAATCTTCCCCGGGAACCTGTGTGCAGCAATGCCCTCAGACCACCTCAGGGTGCTTTCTTACATCCTAAGCAAACTGGAGATATGTACTGTCCTTGATTAGACACTATTGAGTCCTCTCTTCACAGTAACACTATGGACAACAGATGTGTGTGTACCTTGACCTAGGCTGTGTTATCCTCCCATCTCTGATAGACTTGAGCTCATTGTCGCAGTCACTGGGTAAATAAGGATATGGATTCTAGATACCCTGTACAGTTGGCGTCACAAATCATTACCAACTACTGACCTAACAGTTGGTAACTTGAATTTACCCAGAAGCATGGAAGAAAGCCATAGCAATTAGCTTTCTAAAGATTACAGCCCAGAAGACCTAATGGAGCAGTTCTGCTCAGAACGTGGGGGTGCTTGAGTCAGAACTGACTTGAAGACAATCTATTTGGGTGTGATGTCCAGAATGATTAGAGCTTTCTGACCTCTCCCTCAGGCAATGCTGTGAATCTTATAGGACTTACTTTGGACCTCAGGATACCGCATCATTAGCAGAATTCCCCAGCGAAGTGTGGTGGCCGTGGTCTCTGTGCCTGCCACAAACAGATTACTAACCAGGGCCACCAGATTGTCATCGCTGAAGTAGTCAGTAGATTGAGATTTCTCCTGAAAGAGGACAATGAATCATTATTGAGGGGAGAAAATGTAACTATAAATGTTGTTATAAATAACTTGAATTTTTGAAAATGAAGTATTGCATTGTGCCTGCAGGCCACTGGAATGTTTTTGTTATGAGAATGTTGTAGAGAATTTTACAGTAAAGCAATTCCCAGCATCCAGTGATGATAAATACTTGTATTCATGAGGAAGACTCTTTATATTATATATCTATTTAGGAGGGTTGGCTATTAGGTGGGGTTCCCCCCTTATGGAATGAATGATGTTTTACTTTTCTTTTATTTGACTTACTTACAAAGTTTGTATACATTGTTCTTCACACCAGATCTTTCCCATTTCCTTAACCTACCCCTCCCGCCACTCATCAAATTGTGTGACCCTATGATTACTACCCCCATCCATCCTCACCCCTCTGCACCCTCCCTCCATCCTTAGATCCTCACACATATTTTACTAGTTATCTGTTTTCATTTTTTAGCTGAGTAATTAGAATACCGAACACTAGTCCTTTAAACAAGTATTTAAAGAATCTTTTCCAAGTTTACAAAGCGAAATATGTTTCAGGATTGCCAAAAAGAATTTCATAAAGGAAAATGCAGTGTACTCTAAGAGGATGATCAGTACAATGTCACTGAAGGAAGAGAAGATGTGGAGAGGTGCACAATGGTACTAGGCAACGGAAGTAAGCATTGCTGCATACACAGTCAGGAATATTAGTAATAACAAATGGATACATAAATAGACAGAAAAGAGGAACAGATAAGGGCAGCTAAAAGCAACTTCATGACAATTTTTTTTTTGGGCAAAAATTTGTTCTACACATATATTTGTAGATTTTGTAAATACATCCATGTGTATAATAGAATCAATAGGAGGCAAAGCCACGTACACTTATTAGCAATAACCAAAGACACACAGAGAAGGAATTGTTGGTCCTTGGGTTTTATAACCACAGTCTCAGGGATATCAAGTTCTGTTGACATAGTGTAATTCAACAAAGATAACAGTCTGTATTCTACTTTGGTGAGTAGCAACTGAGGTCTTAACATTTTGTGCGTAGCCATTTAAAGTGTATCGATGGGTTTCTCTCTTTTCTGACTAAAGAGTAAAGAAAATAAGACTCATGGAAACAATTAGTTCACAGTGATAATCGACCTTATGAACCACAATTTTTACGATCCTGGCTTATTGAGTTAATAAAACCTTACAGAAAGTCCAAGATTTTGGACTTTATCTTTCAAATCTGAACCCGAACTCACCCATGTGATTTGCAAATGACAATAAAAAGCAGTAGAAAACTAACTTTTAAAAATGTTCTATAACAATGTGACACTAACATGCTACCCAAGGCAAAAGGACTCTCAAGATATTAAAGAGCTGAACAGAAGATTCCAAAAGGCTGCTCGGAATGACAAAGCAAAATACTACAATGAAATGTGCGAGGAGCTAGAGTCAGAAAATCAAAAGG